TTTAAAAAACGCAGTAAAACACACAAAACCAAACACGGCAATGCAAAGACTTAAAAAGTGAACCACCATCCATAACGTGTATATCTGATCATAAACCTGAGACAAAGTGTATTTAAAGCTATTTTTATAAAGAGTCAATAAAATACATAGACGTTGGTAACTTAATGTGGGTAACCGTCGATAATTCAAAGAGGTAGATTGATTCTGATATGAAACCTCATCAAATTATTGCAGAGCTCTCGTCAGCAACACCTCTACTGCAAAGGAGTTTCCAAACGAACCATCGTTCATGCAACTGAGAAAGTTTGAAAAAGATAAGTATTGAATCAAAAGTGTTCCAGCAATTAATAGCACCATACTATTGTCGCTGCGTTTCTGTTCACGGACGCACGGTGTTCCGTCATTGGGTGTTTTTCACGACTCCTTGGCATGACTGGTTTTGTGTCACACGGTCCTTCATCTGCCAGTGTGCGTTGTGCCGAGTCGTTGTTTCAAGTTCATAATGGAAAGATCGATGCAGTGATGCTGGTTGTGGCCACTTTTCAGGTTTCCTTCGATTTACTCCTTATTAATGGGCATTTTGCAGATGTACGGCAAGATGGCCCTGCATGGAACGTCATTCCATCCTATCACACTGCCGTGGTTCCAAAAAGTGCCACAGTCTTCTCCCTGCCCACCGTTGTCTGGCTGATCGTCACGCCATGCCCTGTAGCGAAAGCCCGTCCCGTCACTCCAGGAGAAGTTCCCTTCCTTCGTCTGGTCAGTGTGTCCGAGCCAGACGTGGGTATTAACGTAATTTCTTTCTCTTGGGACCAGAGTTTGCCACATCTGAATCAGGAAGCTGTTCTCTTCCGCAGTGTGGATGGACGCCAGGTGCCCCTGGCCCTTTCGGGAAAAGAACTCTTGGCAGTGCTCCTCGGCCGCTGGCCAGGACTTGGTAGGGCGGAAGAAACGGTAACAGTGGTCACCGAAGCGAGTCCAGAAGGGTGGACAGTCCAGATCAACCCCAGCAGCCAAGCCGATGACTAGCAAGAGAGCTGCACACGAAATCTGTCGGGCGGTCATCATGCTGTATGTACTTTGTCAGATTCTGGAACGTGCTTGCACTCTTGTCAAACTCGATACCAAAGAATGGTCTGACTATAGTTCGCTCAATACCGGTTTATATAGACGTTATCGAATTCCTCCCTTGTGTCTCAAGTGCATCCAATTAAGTAAGTGGAATAGACGTCCCCTGACCCCGTGCATCACAGAGAAATTGAGCCAATGCCAATTGGATCACGTCAGGCCGATTTCACAGAAATCGACCAGATCATTTCTGTGGAACCGAACGGACATTTGGCGCAGTAGTAAGATCTATTCCCCAAAGACTCAAGATTAACCGTGTTCAAATTCTGAGTTACAGAGGAATTGAGCCAATGCCAATTGGATCACGTCAGGCCGATTTCACAGAAATCGACCACATCATTTCTGTGGAACCGAACGGACATTTGGCGCAGTAGTAAGATCTATATTCCAAAGACTCAAGATTAACCGTGTTCAAATTCTGAGTCACTTTTCTGTGTCGTGTCGGTTAAAGCGACTGCCACCTTGTAACTGTTTTCACGAAGAGACACACGTGTGAATTTCAAAGAAAAGCGGGTTTTTGAGATAATCGCAAGAGAATTTTCTTCTATTTTAAAACTGCAAACACTACCACTTCTAACAACTTTGTGTAGTAAAGAAACTTTAGCACGATTCTTTGAAAGGTTCACGTAATGTACAAAAAGACGTTCAGAGGCATTTTGGGGGTTGGGGTCATCTGTCGTAAAAGGAAGTGGAATAGTCAAGGAAACCTTGTACAAAAAGCCAGCTGAAAATCGTGTTCCCAGTTTAAGAAAAATGAGTATTTTCACGGAGTTTTCTAAACTACACAAACAGAAAGGAATGTCCACAGTAGGTGTGTAAGGTATGTGTGGGTGAAAACGAAAGTGAATTTGCCTTTCCAGGCTGTGCGTTTTGCACGTCCTCAAGGGACAGACATGTTTGCGTCTCGCAGAGAAGGCACGAACTTGAAATGCAGTTGTCGCACCCCTCTTCCAATTCGTCATTTTTGTATGCCGTTAGTTTGTTGTATGACTGAACGGGAGAGGACTGTTTTAAGGATTAAAAAACACGTTGGAGACTCGTTTTTAGAAAAACCTCATCTCCCGGACCTAAGACGAGTTACTCACCCCTTCAAAAATCGAGATCGAAAGACTTGGATTGTTAT